GATGTAGTCATCTCAGCGTCTTTATTCTGCCGCCATCTTGCCTGTTCCCGAGCTGGTGGAGCTGATCAGCGGCTTTGCCCGGAGCCCAAGTACTCGATCGGGTCTGCAGTTTCAGAGGTTTTTCCCTGTACCCAGGTGTTGAGGATCAGATTTGCAGTGTTTCCTCAGCCTGGGTTCCACTCAATGAGGTGAGCCGTCCCCCTTCACCTCCAGGGCTTTAGCGTGGGGCAAAGCAGCTCTTGCAGCCGACCAAACTTCCAGGTGCCTGGGTTTTCCCAGGAGTTCCCTTATGGGATGCCCCAATCGCAGATTGCCCCTCAGTTATCTAGCTTCTATTGAGTCCAGGATGTTTTCATTTGGGTTGAAACTCATAGTATGTAAGTCTATAGTCTTTTTTCAGTCCTCAATTCCTATGCAAGCCTGGACGCAGTGATCTTGGTGTCTTTACTCTGCCCAAACATGGAATATTTTTTAAGGAAAAATAGAAGAAAACTTCCCAACTCTGGAAAAAGAAATAAATACACACACAAATCAAGGAAGCAAAAAGAACACTGGGGCAACTAAACAAAATGAGACCAACACTAAGACAGATGGTGGTGAAACTTCCAAAAGATCAGGTAAAAAAAAAATTGATATTGGCAAAAGAAAGAAACCAATAATGTACAAAGGAACCCAGATCAAACATCAGACTTCTCAGAAATTTTGTGAAAAGAGAATGGAAAGATGTGATAAAAAAACTTAAAGATAAAAACTGCCAACCAAAAATACTATACCTATGTGGCTCTCCTTTAGATCTGAGGAAGAAATAAATGCCTCTCAGATGAAGAAAAATTGAGGGAATTTGCAAAAACTAATCCCTTCTTCAGGAAATATTGAAAATAATGCTACTGTCTAAGCCAAATAGAGAAACACACAGAAAGAAGAGGAAAAAAATACAACCACAAAATAGCAGCAACAAACATTCATTTACTAATAATCACTCTGAAAAAACCTCTATTATCACTCTACGCATAAATACACTGAACCCACCAATTAAGACAGTATCAATTAAGACAATTAATTAATTAATTAGTCAATTAAGACAGGTTGGACCAGAAAACAGAACCTAACCTGCTATCTCCAGAAGACACATAGATAAAGGGTTAGAAAACAATCCTACAAGCATATGGGAGCAAAAAAAAAAAGTCAGGGACACTTATATTTATATCAGAGAAAATACATTTCAAGTTAAGAAAGGTAACAAGAGATAGGGATGGACGCTATATTATGATTCAAGAACAATACATCAGGAAGACATAACTATCATCAACATACACTCACTAAATGAAGGAGTAACAAAATATATTAGGCAACTACTTTCAAATCAAGCATGGGAAACAGACATTTGCATATCACAGTTTTGATAAGGGGTTAATTTCCAAAATATACAAAGAACTCATATGACTCAAATACAAAAAAAAACAGACGTTCCTATAAAAAATGGGGAAAGGACCCAAATAGATTTTTCTCCAAAGAAGAAATACAGGTGACCCACATGTACATGAAAAAAAAAAAAAGCTCAACATGAGTTATTATAAAGGAAAGATGATTTAAAGCCACCATAAGATATCACCTCACTCCTATGAGAATAGCCTGTATCAAAAACAGAGAACAATCAAAGGCTGGCAAGGATGTGGAGAAGGAACACTTGCTCATTTATGGTGATATAATTTTGTGCAGCCTTTGTGGGAAACAATATGGAGATTCCCTCTAAAAACTAAAAATGTAAATACCCTACAGTCCATCAATGGCACCTGTAGGTATTTATCTGAAGAATATTGAAAACACTAATAAAAATATTTATGCACTCCTGTGTTCATAGTCACTAATAATACTAAAGACTTGGAATCAACCTAAATGTCCAGTCATGGATGAATGGATTAAAAAAATGTAACATAATTTAATGGAATACTACTGATAAAAAGATTGTGACATAATTCAATTCAATAATGAAATTATGATCTGTACCAGAATATGGATGGAACTTGAAATAATCATGCTAGAAAAAATAATTATGCTAGATTAAATAGGTTAAAACATGGGAGACAATTGCTGGGTGGTCTTGCTCAATAAAAACCTTGAAAGAAAACAAACTGACAAATGCAACAAGACTTAAATTAGGTGAAAGCAAGGTGGATACCAAAGGCTCAGGGATGGGAGGATAGAACAGGGTGTGGACAGTAAATGACGCAAGCAGGGGAGCTGGACTTTGTGATGGAGTGAAGAGTGTGTAGGTGTCCAGGTATGTGAAGGTGTACTCCTGTGTTCATAGTAGAGTTTAGTAAAATCTGATTATAAAAGTACCAAAGTTGTTCCCTGACACAAGTCAATACTCCACAAAATCTTGTCACACAGGTTATTCATTTTTAGATTTGGAAAAGTGTTAAAGACGGGAACAAAGTACAAGGAAGCTAGACTCTCGAAGGCGAGCACATACATAGAGAAGTAGCAGTAAAAACGCAATTCACCTGGTTTCTAATTTGGTCTCTTGAGAATAGAGATTCACAAGGAAAAATTTCTTCATCCAGACAAATGTCCCACAAGGAAACAGCGTACACAGAGGTGAAGTCACAATGGAAACAGTGCCTAATAAACAGGCAAAGGAAGTTGTACATATGCTATGACTCCATACACGCGAAACTTTGAGTGGGACACGGCATCGTCGCTGCCTTTGAATTCCTAAGTCTTTTCTGGGGCCAATACTTCACTCTTTCCTGCTGTCCTTTTTGAGAACAGGCCTTCAGTTTTCATCATAAACCCTCCAGAGAAGTTTGGATTCTACCCATTGATTATCCTCAGACCTCCATCCAGGCGAGTCTGAGAAACCAGTAGGTATTCGAGGAAATGTTGAGGGTCTGAAATTGGAGAGTTTTCTAAGCAGCCAAAATCTATAGCTGAGAATTTACCATGTCTGTTTACCAGCGTGGGTAGTTAACTTACAATTTGTACATGTAATATATTAAAAAGTTAGTTGTCTGTTGGACCCTGCAGTGCAAGAAGCATTGCTACAATTAAGTGATGAGTCCAGTTGAATGAGACTGAAGAAGGAGGGGTAGACATAAAGTGTCCCTGGTAAAATCAATAAAGCCAAGAAATTTTAGTTACTAAAGTACAAAAAGAGAGCATTAGGTGTAGAGGTGTATGCACTGTACTGAAGGGAGGCACTTAAAAAAATTAAAATGGGGTGTCTTTTAGCATGTTCTATATTGGTTAGAAAGATCCCAACAGTGGTGGTATTACTTTGTATCAGCAGTTCTCTTGACATACATTCCACAGTATCATTGCTGACATTGGTATTTACATGAGAAAGGTGTAATGAATACAAAATTAGGTGTGCTGGAGAGTGCTATATCACAATTAATTCATTATTGGGAGGTGAGGAAGCTATCAGGCTTTTGAGAGATAGAAGGGAAAAATCACCTCACCTCACAGTGATAGGCATTCATTTACTGACAGGGAGGAGATAACCTTAGCTTTATACAGACCTTGTCTAAATTTGTCAGTCACTTTAGAGGACTAGATAGCTCTGTTCCCACTATTTGAATGAGGATATTAACATTTGCAAAGGATTGGTTGGTTGTCTATGTTAAAATATGTGGTAGAATTGAGGCTCAAAACTCCTTTTTTTATTCCAAAATGTTTGCATTTTATATTGTCTTTTATTTAAACAATGCCTTGTTTTTGGTTCTACATTTTCTGTGTAAATTGTGGGTTTAGTAATTTTGCTCAGACTATTCAACTAGCCAGGTTTTTTTGACATGTAAACATATCCACCCCTTTCTCTTGAGGATAAATTGTTTTCTTCTACTTTATTAGCTATTCTGGTCATCAAGGGGATATAACTGGGATTGGAAGGCTGCCAGACCAGAACTTTCTCATCAGTCTCTCAGGAATCACCTGAGTTTATTAGAGTGTCTTTCCCCAGTGTCCATTTATTTCCGCTCTATTTCCAAATGGCTGCTTTGGTTTCTTTAATTACAGGAGACAAAATAATTTATAGGAGGTTTGCCAATTTGAATTTGGAGACTATTTCCATAATCTTTCGGGGAAACTGATGTTGACAACTCTCTCGTCTCTTGCACACTGTGTGCTTTGCAGGACATGCACAGATCTCGGGGACCTGGTTCCTACCCCACATTCCCTAAATTGTGGCCCTTTGAATACAGTTGCCAGGAGGTTAACAAACAGATGGAAATGAGGTGGCAATCATTTCTACTCACAGAAGCCTGTGAAAGTTAATAAAATGCCAGGAACTGCATGAGAACAAGGGACTCCCTGTTCCTGGAAGTTTCAGCAGCAGCAGGGAGTTCACCTTTTTCCTCAACATTCTCTGATACCAGATCTCATCCCTTGCCTCTTGCTCATCCCTTTCTAACCGTAGGTCCCTTTTAACTTTGCTGATTTGAAACAAGCCAAGTCCTCAGGCCACATCCCCTGCTGGGTGCACATTTCTCAGACATCTTCCACTCTTCTGTTCCATCTCCTCGAGGGCTCAGTTCAACTGTTCCCCTTGTTTGGAGGGTGTTCTGAAATTCCAATCAAAGACAAGACCCGCCTCCATTGCCTTTCAGACTTATTTTATTTTCCCCCCAGAACACTTGACAGCTTCTGACACAGCATGTGGATATTTATTTGCTTAGATTTCTTCTCCATCTCTGAACCATACAGACTCTTGTTTCTCAGCACTCTATACTCTTTGATTTAAGAATGGTCAAATGTGTGAAAACAACTTCTTATTAAAACTGTCAAATGCATTGACCTCTAGGGAAAGGCTGAGGAGGAGACAGCAATTCCCAAGCAAAGAGATCACGGAAGGTCCTTAAAGGGGATCAGATTCATACATGTAGGTTTGCTTGACCACCCAATAGAAACTAACATTTCAGTATGTTAGTAATGATTCCCATAGTGTTACAATTATTCATGTTTCTTTTTTTTTCATTCCTAGTCATAACCACTACCACATGATACCAGAAAATCATACACAAGTTACAGAATTTCTTCTTCTTGGATTATCAAAGGAACCAGAACTGCAGCCTCTTATATTTAGACTTTTCCTCTCCATGTACATGGTCACTGCATGTGGAAACCTGCTTATCATCCTGGCCACCATTTCAGACTCCCACCTCCACACACCCATGTACTTCTTCCTCGCTAACCTGTCCTTTGTAGACATCTGCTTCATCTCCACCACCATCCCCAAGATGCTGCTGAACATCCAGAAACACAGCAAAGGCATCACTTATGAAGGCTGCATTACCCAGATGTATTTTTTCCTCCTTTTTGGAGTGTTGGATGACTTTATTTTGAGTGCAATGGCCTATGACCGCTTTGTCGCCATCTGTCACCCCCTGCACTACACGGCCATCATGAACCCCCAGCTCTGTGGGTTGGTGGTTCTGGCTTCCTGGCTTCTGAGTGCTTTGTATTCCTTGTTACAAAGTTTAATGGTGTTGAGACTGACCTTCTGTAGAAACTTGGAAATCCCTCACTTTTTCTGTGAACTCAATCAGATGGTCCAACTTGCCTGTTCGGACACCTTTCTTAATGACATAGTGATGTATTTTGCAACTGGGATACTGGCTGGTTGTCCACTTGCGGGAATCCTTTATTCTTACTCTAAGATAGTTTCCTCCATATGCAGAATATCATCAGCTCAGGGGAAGTATAAAGCTTTTTCAACCTGTGTGTCTCACCTAACAGTTGTCTCTTTGTTTTATTTTACAATCCTAGGAGTGTACCTTAGTTCAGCTGCTTCTCACAGCTCACACTCCAGTGCAACAGCCTCAGTGATGTACACTGTGGTCACACCCATGCTGAACCCCTTCATCTACAGTCTGAGAAACAAAGATATAAAGAGGGCCCTGAAAAGATTCATTGTGTGGAAGCTATGAAAGGGCATTTTATCCTGGGGTTGAGGAAAGGTCCTTGACTGGAGTGTTAAATGTCTTTGAACCAGAATTTGGAAGTAGAATATGCTATATATCTACTGGTATTTCCATTTTTTTAAAATTAAAATTCTTCACACAATTTAAATAATCCAATTTATCATGCTTCTGCTCTGATTGATTTCTCCTTTGCCCTTTCCTTCTTTCTAATTTGATTTCCCACCTTTGGTCAGAAAGATTTGAAATTTTCATTTTTTTACAGGGTAATATGGATTTCTTGAGAATACTTTCTACTCTTGTGAAATATATCATCTCAAAATTTTCCTTTGTATTACTAAAAGTATAGTCATAAGCCTCATCACACACATTTACATAATTCTTGGCTCAGCAACACCTGAAGCCACAGGTTTCACTCTGAGTCCATTCTTCTTCTATTTTTAAATTATATCCTTATCACATTTTTAAAAAGATTTACTTATTTATTCATACAGAACTGGGGTACAGCCAGAAGTGCAGGAGGAGGTGAGAGGATTCACCAGAGACAGAGTGGGGAGCAGAACAGGCAGATTGATGAAGTACACTGCTGAGTGGAATAGTGGGTGATACACGAGAGGTCTATGCCATGTGGGTTACCTCCTGGGCTGGGGATCGAACTCTCACTGAAGTGGCTATAGCAGCTTGCAGTGCTGTGTCCTAATACATTGTGCCACCAGGGAGGGCTCCTGGGTCCACTATTCTTATTTATATTTTTACTTTAGCTACTCTTTTAGAGAACACACACTTTAGCATGTTACTGAGTTACTGGTCTCTTGCTTTTATTTCCTATTAAAATCCATGCCCACATGGCTGTCACATCTCTGATAAAATTGTTTATCAAAATTATATTTCACAATGAAGACAACATGACAAGGTTAATTTAAGAAATAGATTGATGTAAAATATTCTTAGTGAGAATTGCCATTAAATGAGAAGTAAGATTTTTATCAATAATTTTATTCCTATGCAAAGTATTTTTCTTTCATGCTATAATCTCTTAAAGTATGGAAGATTGGTTTTCATAGTTGAGTTTATTCATTGAGGTGGAGTGTTGGTTGGTGTATTATGTTTTATGACTGAATTACTTTCTGCATCTCCTTGAAAATTTCTAGTGTTAACTTCAAATTTGAATCCTCTATTGGTTTTGATATATTATCTCCCTTCTGTTCTAAGTACAAATAGGATGTTGAGTGGTCAATATCAACTTATCTGTAATGTGCTGCATACTCATGGGGCTTTTCAATATTTCCTAATGAAAGGATGAGTCACAGGGAACTTTCATGTGATTTACAGTAACAAATTATTTCTGTACAAACATGCAAGTGCCACCAATCTCTCCTCATTTCCTGGAACAGAGCTGTGGAAGGGTCACCGGCTAATATAGCTATTAGAAACAGATTTGAGGACCCTCCCTGGTGGCACAGTGGGTTAAAGCACAGCACTAAGAAATAAACTTGATTATCAGAATAATCGAGAATGCTGTCTCAAATGTCAGAATATATTCCCCCCAATCCCCACAACAAATTATTGCAACTACCCTCAATTCTATTTGCATTGCTTATTTTATCAGTTACTTATTGCTGTATAACGAGATATCCTAAAGCAAATGGTTTATTTCTCAATAGGATTATATATATGGGAGGTTATTTTGATCTATACATAGATATTCCTGAGACTTTGAACATCTTGAGTCACTATATTAAATTTTATATGAGGTGTGACAGTTTACTACATTTATATGTGTTAGTAAATCTAGGTTAGAAATAAATGAATTTATCAAGTGCAAATTGCCTTAGCTTAATTCTATTGCTTTTATTGCATGTATGACATTTTGCTTTCTACTAAATTTGAAGATTTTTCTCCCTTCCCATTTAAAGTTGACTCAACTACCTGTGCTTTCTCCTTTTTAATAAATTACTGGTGTGAAATGTTATGAAGTAAACTGCACTTACAGAAATGTAAAATTTATTAAAGGAGTCATACAAAACCTGAATACATCTACATAGTCATATTCTTATACAATTTAAGGCACTAAAGTCCTAATTGTATTGTTACATAATTGTAAAAATTGTCTCTCCCAGGGCCTCAGTTTCCTTATGTCTGATGACAGCGTGGGTTAGAAAAATCTAATTCACATGGATGCTATGAGGAATAAGTGAAATATGTGGAAATGCTTTGTTGAGATTAAGAAGTCTCTCATGGACAAGGTTGTAAATGGTGTTATAACTACTTACTCTACTGGGTATTTAAATGAAGCAAAAATGTTTTTTTGAAGGAAGTGAGTGGCCCCTTTTGTTTGGGGCAGGACCTGTGTTAGCTAAGTCATCTTGGGAAAGCTCGGGAAGCATCTCAGTGGCATGCATTTGGTTGACTGTCAGATACGCGCTCTTTCTGATCTGCCTCATCTGAAAGGCCTGTCCTCACTCTTCAAGTGTAGACGCTGCCACCATGAAGAGGCAAGGAGCCCAGGAAATCCTTTCAGTCTTAGCTTCTCCTTTGCTTCATTTTTGGTATCTCTTCTTCTACCTCCTACTTCTCCCTTTTCCACCCCTTCCCCCCCTTTTTTTTTTTGCTATTTTTTTAAAAGATTTATTTATTTGTACATACAGAACTGGGATACAGGCCAGAGGCTCAGGGGTGGTGAGAGGCTTCACCAGAGACAGAGTGGGGAGCAGAACAGACAGATCCATGAAGTACACTGCTGAGGGGAGCAGTGGGCGGGCCAGGAGAGGTCTGCCGCGCCATGTGGCCACCTCCGGGGCAGGCGGGAATCGAACTCATGCGGAAGTGGCTTTAGTTTCTCAGTGCCGTGCTTTAACCACTGCGCCACCAGGGAGGGCCTTTTTGCTATTTTTAAAAAAGTAATATGATAGTTTAATTTTACATCATTTTGTGCCTTTTTCCATCTCAGTTGCAATCCCTGTGGGCTTCCCCTCACCAAGTCACCCATGTGCCAACACCATAGACCAGTGCATTTCCCTCCCCCCCCCACTGTTTTTGATCCCATTCCCCACTCCACCCCCATAAAATGTCTCTGGTATATAGTTGTTCCTTATTATTATTATTTTCTCGCCTGGTCCGTTATACTCCTCCTATGAGTGAAACCATCTAGTAATTTTCCTTTTCTTTCTGGCTTATTTCACTAAGCATGATCCCTTCCAGCACCATCCATGTTGCTGCAAAAGGCATATTTTTTGGTGCTGAGTAATATTCCATTTTTGGTGCTGAGTAATATTGTATGAAGCAAATATTTTGCCTATAAGTTTTGGAGTGGGTGGTCAGAAATAAGTCAATGGGATAAAACAACCACACTTTAAAGATAAATTCTTTATAAAGACTCTAGGACATAATCCACTATTTCTCTATTGCAGCTTCATGTGAACAAAGCCTGACATGTCTTGACCTTTGTCTTTAAAGCTGGCCAAGTGCACACGGGTAACTCAGTGATGGGAAACCCACGGGGATTACAATTGAGATGAAAAAAAAAAGTACAAAATGATATAAAAATAAACTATTATATAATATATATAAAAGAAAGCTGGCCAAGTAACATCTTTAAATCTATCTGATTCTAACTATTCTGCTTTCCACCTTCACATTCAGGGCTATGATGCTAACATTCCTACCTGCATAATCATGGAAAATCTTCCTATCTTATATTCTGATGATGAGCAAACATAATCTATTTTGGCATTTTAACCCTTTCATTCTATAAAACAATAATATAAAATTTCTGAGAATTAGGATAACAAACTCTTTGCATGTGCACCAACATGAACAGAACTGGAGAGGATGACATTAAGTGAAATAAATCAGAGGGAGAAAGATAAATACCAGATGGAATTACTTATATATCGAGCATAGAGAAGCAAAACACAGGGTCAGATAAAGCCAAAGAATGAGCAAACCCTAGAAATCTGACTGTAGCACTGAGCCTACCAAAGAGCAGGGAGAAGAGAGAACAAAGTGGAGCGGGAGCACAACAGGCTATGGTGGTAGTGGGCACGATGTGGAAAGAAGAGGGAGATTCTACACCTCTAACTCATATGCAACTTCAGAACCCAAAGTTACCTCAATAAAACAAACAAAAAAAGTACAATTTTGCAATGGGTGACTTCATAAGAGTGTAACTCGTAGAATGGACTTGTATAAAAATGTGATCATATCAAATCATATTGAAAGCATAGTTCTGTTGAAAATGTAGCCTAGATCCTCTCTGTTAGTAAATGAACAGTTATCACTGGCCATGACTTGAAGCTGATGTTTTCTTTTTCTCAACAGTCTTCATTGCTCCCTATCTCTTAAAAGTTCCCTCATCCACAGCTTTATTTAGTATTTTCTCACTTTTTTCAGCTATTACCACTGGTAATTTTCTGGTCCAATATTCACATTGCCAAGAGAGATCTTTTTTTTTTTTTTTTAAGATTCATTTATTTATGTGTACAGAACTGGGGTACAGGCCAGAGGTGCAGGGACAGTGTGAGAGTTCACCAGAGACAGAGTGGGGAGCAGAACAGGCAGACTGATGAAGTACAATGCTGAGGGGAGCAGCGGGTGGGTCAGGAGAGACCTGCTGCACCATGTGGATCACCTCCAGGGCAGGGATCGAACTTGTGTTGAAGTGGCTTTAGCTTTTTAGTGCTGTGCTTTAACCTGCTGCTCTACTAGGGAAGGCCCAGAGATCTTTTTATATTACAAAAGTCATTCATTTGCATGACTTAAACATCTCCTCTCCTCCCAGTAATTCTCTAGTGGAGAATGAAGCCAAAATTCTCAGGTTCTGTGGCCCTCAGAATAGTGCTAAAGAAGGAAAATCCCTTCTCCTGATGGATGCCACCAGTTGGGAGAGAATTGTGCCCTATCCTCTGACCCCTCCTACACTGATACCCTCACTGCTGTTCTCTTTTCTGGAATATCTGAGAGGGTGAGGGACAGGGTCTGTAAGGATATACTCCTTCCACCGCAGCCGT